AATGATGACTAATGGATGTGATATAATCACTACCATTTATGGAAAATCATTAAAGACTTTGGATAAACTATCTTACTCAATACTCACAAATTTCATATGAGCTTTTTTCTGTATTTTATAAATACAGAAATTCATTTGGCAAAGATCTAAAGATATTAAGTGGCAAAGTCAACATTTGAATTCATGACTCCTTGACTGTGAAACTCACTGTGTTACATTAATCCCTTCCTCGCAAATCTCCTCAAATCTCAGGATTATGAATCCCACAGATATAAATCCCACCGATTATAAACACAGGAGTTTCTATTTAGAAATTAGTTGAATCCTCACAGTAGGAGAAATATTATTATCATCATCAGTAGCAGCAGCATCTACATTATCAACACCTCCAATGCCACTACCAACAACAGCTCCATTTCCCAAAGAAAGTATCTGAAGAGTAATGAAACAAGGGGCTAAGACAGTAACCTACCTAGTACATAATATTGTTAATGCAAATAAGGCTAATGCATATAATCCAAACCAAACCTAACAGCATGGAAATGATATTCCTTCAAAGAATGAAGACTGGTTATAATCCTCTATGAAATACTTATACCCTAACAGAAAGTATTTTATTCACCACAAAATATTTTAAATGCTTTGATTTTGATGTTATATAGACTGTTGACATGTTCTTGCTTGCTGCTTAAATTCAAGACTAACATTATTTAGATCTCTGGTTTGTTGGGTCTATTTTGCACCTAGAAGTGTTTGCAGAACTTATTAAAAATATTACCTACTTTGTAACTTATTTGCAAAACAGGAGATTTTGTCTAGATCATTCATGTATCTCCCATAGCTAAACCAATACCTACCATGTACTGCTGCTGCAAGAAAAAGTTAAACTGAAAAGAGCAATTAAACCTTTACAGTCTATCATAAATAAACTGAGAAAAACTTAATTGCATAAGACCACAGAGCTAGCGACTAGCGGGAATGTAGAAAGAAGTTGTTTTATTAAAAATTAGCTATTTTTGTTTTATAATGTAGTGGTAAAGAAATAGTAAAGTAAATCAGTACTCTTATTCCTATTTGTTTAGAGTTTATGTAGCTTGTCTAATATATTAGTGATCAAAATGTAACTAATAAATAGACCATATTTTTAATACTTTTCATTGTACATAGGGTGCAGACCTTTATAAAATCCACTACAATCTCAGGGAGAAAGTGATTCTCTGACTGAGGATTCAGAAGTTTCAATGAGGAAATATGGTTTAGGTGAGGGGAAGGGAATTCAAGATTGAGGAAAGATATTTGGCACAATGAGCATGCTATTTAAGTCATGTCTTGAACAACAATGAATTTTTTTAAAAAATCACAATATTGCCAAATTGCAAGCGATATTGTAGACCAAAGAACAAGACATTTTTTCAAAGTATCTAAAAGATATTTTCAATGTATCAAAATACAGTATTTTAAATATGTTACTGAGTACAATCACACACGTCTCATTTTCTTATTTATTTGCTATTAAAGGTGAAAGGGTTCAAGAAAAATACCCTGTTAACACTCTAAAAGATGTTGACACTCTGAATATTTGATATTATTGTATAAATTTTAAATAGAAAAAAATGTCAGGTTTTCTAAAGTGATATAATGTTTAGGGCCAAAATTGAACTATTTCATGAAGTGATACATTAAAGCCATAATAATGCATAAAGATACCTAGACTCCTGAACTCAGAAAACCTAAACTCAAAATTAACAAGCTTAATACCTTTAAGGAGGAAGAACATTGCCTATCCAGCTTAAAGTAAGCCCCCTGTTGTTAGTTATTATTTTTACAGTTATGGCTGTTGTTATTTCAATGTAATGAAAACCATTTGAAATAAAATATTTAAAACATTTTATTAAGCATTAATTACCATTCATAAACAAACATATTTTATGTTATATATAGATACCTTTATGCTAGGTACAGTAATTATCCACACTGAGCAGACTTGAGGAGAACATTTTCTAAATCATCTCTGTGTTTCATGTATTTCTGTATATGTTTTTGCTTTCCTGCCAAACTGTTAATTCCTTATTTCTGTTCTGCCTCCAACATTTTCTAGTTTCCAACTTTTCTGTAGTTAATATTTTTTTCTCTAATTAGTAACAGTAATCCAATTCAATGTCTTACTGCATTGAGTTGTTGGGATTCTATTTCAGTTCCTATTCCTCCCTTTATAAATTGCTATTTTGAAGCCACATGATAAAAAGCACTTCCTTTAGGCTGAAGCGTGAGAGACATGATCCTGAGAGAATTTTTTTTTCCAAGAAAACCAGAAAAGTCTACCATGTATTTTCAAATTGAAATAGAATTTTTCCCTGGCATTAACTAATACCTACAGTGAGGAGTTGGCCGTACTTATTTCAGGATTGTTGCCAACCAAGTGTTAAATGACTTACCAATACAGACAAGACTATGGACTTTACAGATTTTTTTTTTATTCTTCATAAGGTTCATTGTCCAAATAAATTCAACATAGTCTCTCTATATTCTTTCTCTTTGGTATAACCAATAACATAAAGTATGAAGAAGTCACAGGGAGAATTAAAGTAAAATTCTCATAATTTGAGGACATAAATTCTTTAATAATCCATTGTTGGCATGAAAAATAAAATATATAATTTTATGCACCATTTCCTGTCATCTTGGCTGTTAGTTTACCTCATTTGCAAAAGTGATACATAAAACTGTGATGCACAATAACACAATAGCAAAATAATCCTAGGAAGAAAGGAGATCACTAGTCAGCATATATTATGCCCATTTTAGATTTTAATTGATGTCAGATCCTGTTCTAAATGTTTTATAAAACACTGAAGAAAAAATTGGAGTCAGAGATAAAGCCCAGGAACACAGAAGTAGAAAAAGAAACAGTTTAAAAAGAAAGGAATGAAGACTGAAAAAAAGAGATGCCAAAATACATATTATAGTTAATAAACTTATTACTCAGTGTTGAAAGTTTGTCTGAAAAGAGTTCATAATTTGTTGACTTACATTCCTAAAGATATCCAGTCAGTAGCTCCAAATTATATGACATATCTAGCATCTCAAGTATTTTTTGTTTGTTTGTTTGTTTGTTTCACTGGTTGCCAATACAATTCCTCCTCTCTGAACTGAAGTGGAGATTTGAACAATGCAATCAAGCTTTAGACTTCTTTGGTATTAATCTATTAATCATTCATACATTTCATTATACTCATTAGGAGAGAGAGTCTATGGTATAGATTAAGATAGTCAGGCTGGGACTTCATCACTAATACGTAAATGTTTCCCTTGAATATACCTCAGAGTCCTCATCTGAGAAATAGAGATAATTAATAACACCTACCCCATAAGGCAGTTGTGAGGGTTAAGTAAAGGTAATAGGTATAAACTCCTTAAAACAATGACTGGAAGTAAAGTAAGGGTAACAGTAGTGTCTATAGAACTCTACAGTCCTTGACTGCACAGAGCTGGGTGCCCAGAGAGAAAACGTTCTCATGGCATTTTGTTTAAAACTCAACTGAGACTCAGAAATACATGGTGAACAAAATTCTTGAGCCCTATGACACTAAGTAAACAGAAGTATACTAATATTTTTAATAGGAGAAAACAAGCCAACTGCTTTAAAATAAATTGTAAAACAGAAACGAGATATTTCTTGTGACAGACATAGGACATTTATTCAAATGGTTTTCATAATATTTGTCTTCTAGTAAACTACTGTGGAAAGGCATAGCTGTAACATCCCTATATACACTGCCTTAAGGAGACACTGCTGTGACCATGGACCAATTCTGTAACTCAGATGGGCTGTTTTCCTAAAATTTTAAATGAGAGAGTTGAACAAGTACTTTCTAATATTTTTTTAAGTACAATTAAAGGAATCAATTTGATGAATTTATTTAGAAGACTGCTGCTCTCAATATAAGTTTTTAAGGAAAAATAAGATCGAAGGACACAAAGAAAGCATAAAATTAAAGGACTGAATTCATATTCATAGAGTTTGAATTTACAGTTGAAGGAGTGAATATCCTTGTTTGGGGCTGGCGTGAACTAGTTAGTGAACTATCAAGGCATTTGTCCAGCGTATATGTTTCCTATGTGTATTTGTAGCAGTCTCTCAATGCATATTATTAAGTAATACAAAAGGAAATAATGAATGGCTGTCCTTATAATTTTAATATTCTTCATCTTGTATCAAAAATACAGTTCTAAATAACATTATTCAGTAACAGAAAAAAAGTAACATGAAATATATTAGAAAGATGAAACACACACATTAGAAATAACATTAAAAATACACTAAACATAAAATATAACTAAAAGGAAAAATGAAAAGAAAATTATGAATATTTTCTGGAATGAGGCAAGGGAGACCCCTTTTGAAGAAGAGTGTCACTTTTGCATAGTTAATTTTTTAAAATTATGACTATGAGTCAAAAATGATTAAATGTCCTTGATGCAAAGGGCAACGCCAAATTTGAAAAAAGAAAAAAAAAAGGAATATGAAATGATGCATAGGAGAATTGAGGGCTTAAAAGGCCACCTTTAATATCAGACTTTGAAGGTGGTTAATGAAATGGTAGTTACAAGAGATTGCATGAAAACAATGCTTTTTCATTTATAAGTTAACAAAGAAGAGAGCCTGCATATTATAATGCAGAGTAAAATTAAAAGACTGTTATCATTAAGTGATGCTATTTCTTTTATTATGTATATTTTACTATGTATCTTTTATTATGCATCACAAACTCCAAAAGGCAAAAACTACGCAATATTTTTAAGAGAAAGACTGAAAGAAAATAACCACAAAATAAATCATATGGTAAAATCAAAATGTGACAAACATGGAAAAAGTCATCTAGAGGTTAAAATTTCATTTTTGACCATTATATAAGGTACAATGAATCCTGTGTTCCCTCTGAAGAATACACAAACCACATCTATTTTTCTGAATCAGCACCCTGTGTAGTTTACCATACCTGTGGGTAGCTGTCAGTCCTTGGCAAAACTGATATATCATAGGTGGCTGCAAAGTGGCTTTTAGCTTGTTGTATTTGGCCATAACGTTCTCTTTTTCTCCACTTGGCCCTTCGATTTTGAAACCACACCTAATTTTTCAAAAAAAAAAAATAGAATCTTAACTGAGGAATATTTGATAAAGCAAATTTAATGTTAAAAGATTTCAAACCAGAGTGAAAAACCAGGTCAATAAATTACTTATAAAATTATTAATTTCTTTATGTCAGAAAATGATCCACAAGTTTTACTTTCTCTAGTACTCTGATACGATGTGGTAAGTCCATGAGCAATAGAATTTTACAGGAGAAGCTGAGAGACAAATTTATTTGATATGTCAGTGCCTCTCATTTGTAGAAAATAAAAGATAATTAAGCTATACAATCTTAATGTTATTTATATCCCCACATTATCGTGCATAATCTTCCTCCAAGAGAATGCTGCAGATCTTGGAGACAACTATAACTTTTTAGTGTAGGGTTATGACATAACAGGAATGAAGCCAACCTATGATCAAATTAATATGAGTTCATTTAAAAATGATCTTTTAAATATGTCAGAAACTGAAGACTCTCCTAGGTTGTACTTTAGATAAATTATGCATAAGGATTGCATCTAAATCATATGGGTGGCAGTGGTGGAAGTATTTTAATTATTTAGAAGTAGAAAAAATTAAATATTGAATTGTACATGGTAAGGATTATATAAGATGTGGTTTTAAAATGTATAAATATACTTATTATATAAACAGTATGGTTTACTTTGTCTTGCAGAAAATGCTCAGATATTGTCAGTAATTTCTTTAATTTGAAACATTTACAGGTAATATAGATAACACAATAAGTAGGACATGTAAATCCAAGGGTTAAGAATGCTTTTGAGGTAGTGTGGCCTTTTCCATGTCACTAAATGTTTTTCCATAATTTCTCTAATTATGTTCCTCAAATATTGATTCTAAGTACCATCTTCTCAAAGGATTCATTAATTTAAACTGCTACTACTCCAAAATTTTATTTTTAATATTAGAATGTAGTGAAGCGAGATAAAGAAAATTATAACCTATATGGAAACATGGAAATGTAGAATTATACTGTAAAGCAGCTCTCAGGAATCCCTTTTGTCTTCTTTATACAACTAGGCGAAAATATGTTTAGGAAAGAAATTAGAAGTCAATGATAAAAATTTAAGTTGTAAAAAAGTCTCTCATTAAAATTTATTTGAAATTTTACATATCTTTAATACTCAATCGTAATATTCTCTATATTTCTATACCTTCACAAATTTGTCTGCTGAATAATACTCAGTTTAGTGTTGTTTAAAAATATATTTCAATTGTCAGATGCCACTTGAAGAGTTTTCATCAATTAAAACAAGACAAAAGCTACCTGTTTAGAATGTCTTCACAGCACACTTCTGATAATATTACCCATTATACCCAAAGCTTGAGATTAAAAACAAAACCAAAACCAAAAGTTTTTATTTTCATTTTTTACTGTATCTACAGATAGGCACCAAGAAATACAAAGAAATATTAATGAGGTTTTGGGGTTCCTCCCCCATTGAAAAAAAGACCTAGACCATCTTCTTAAGTGGGTACCAATTACCACTCTCATGTGAGAAGCAGGAAGAACAATCTGGGTAAATTAGGTTCAGGTTGCTCTCTGTACATGTTTTCAGACAAATATAATCAGGACTTAAGAAGAAAACATGCATAGTACACAGCTGATCACTCCATGTGTAAACATATTTTTCTATGGTTTGAAGTATAACTAATTTAAATATGGACATAAAACACATATGCGGGACTGATGTTAGTACATGACAATTCTAAAATTCTTCGTTAGCACAAACTTTCTATATATTTACTTCCTGAACTAAGATAAAATAGCCATTTGTGTCCATAAACTCAAGCAAAAATCTGCTGCTTGTTATCCCTGCACCACCAGATGTTGTCTTTAACGATGTACAAGACTTACAATGCCTTAATTTTAAGAAGCAATACTTACTCCATTAAGAACAAAATATTTCCCTACCTATTCATTTCTGAGAATAGCAAAATTCAGTATTTTCCTAAAGTAGCAAAAAAACATGCAAAGAAAAAAGCCACTTTTCCTGAAATAATGTTGAAGTTGAAACTCTTATTAATTGGGAACTAATAAAGTATAATTTCAGTATATCAAATCTAGTCAAAATAAAATACACGTAAGAGGAAGAATTTTACTTCATATAATTTTTGGTTCTCATATTATTTTAAAACTTTAAACACATTAAATCATCAGAATTTGATAATTTAAATAATTTTACAAAATAATTGAGAAGTACATACAAAAATTTCTTTAAATATATTTTACTATGTAAAAACTATGTAATTACCTAGATTTTTTTGAACTAACGAGGTATTGATAATTGCTAGGGCTAGAAAATTATAATGAACTATTGGATGTTTCTTTAATTATATTAGCAAAAATATTGTATGGTAAGCATAACAATTGGCAATGACATCGGTTCATTTTTAAATTTTTATCATAATTCAACCTACATGAAATTATGGATTTATATGCATTATTCAAATAATTTACACAAACCTTGGCATATAATCTAAAAAGAATTTCAGTGGCTGATAAAACAGAGAAAGAAAATGAAATACATTCATCATCTGATGAATAGCTATACTTCTGCTTTTCATCCTTTGAAAAGTACTTAAAACCATCATATTCTGTTCACCCTAAATGGCTTAATTTTTATGCCTATGTCATTGCTTGTGTCCATATGCTTTGTGTATGCTGTCAAAACTTTTCCAAGTAAAAAGGAAGTATAATGGATCTGCATGCATATATATTACATTGTTCTATGTCATCAGCTCCAGAATCAGTTTATTTCTAAGGCAACAAAATATGATGGTTCAATTATTCCTCTTTTCACCTCAGCCCACCACAAGGCCTCCATTCAACTCCTACCTGGACCCTGGCCTCAGTGAGCTCTGTTCTCAGAGCAAGCTGTTCTCTGACATAGACGTCGGGGTAATGGGTTTTCTGAAAGACCTTCTCTAGTTCTTCCAGCTGCAAACTGGTGAAGGTGGTTCGGTGTCTCCGCTTCTTACTGCTGGATACATTGCTGTCACATTTATCCCCAAGTTCATCCATTTCTCCCTTCTCTGGCATTCCCTTCCCGGGAGACATCCGGAGACTGTTGCAGTTGTCCATGGCTCTGTTCAGTTCAGTGTGAAGCGGTTGTCCTTCTACTTTGGTGATCCCATAGTTCACTGCACCCAGAAGGGGAAAATAGCAATGCTCAAGATTGTGACAGACATCTCCATGAAGGAATTAAATTGAAGCAAATTAGAGCATCCAGAAATAATTCTTGAAATGGTTTGTTGTGATGATTAATTTGATCATCACGTTATGTGCAATTATGAATTCACTGAGAAACAGGTTTAAAAATCATTTTTGAATATGTACATGGCACTCATAAGTTGCCAAAATCCACAGTCCTATTTTAGAGGGCTAATGTAATATTTAGATGCACAATATACAATCAAATTAATATAGTCAAACTAACAGATGCTCTGGATATAAAAACAAAAACTTGAGTAACCATAATTTTTGAAAAGTGAATCAGACTTAATAGTATGCCATACATTTATTCACAAAAGAAAAAATAAGCTACTGTATGACTCAAAATTTTTTAATTTTAAGTAACACCTATACACGTATGCTAACATCTAAAAGTTATCTTCTCCCTCCCCACAATATCGATGGACTATAGTCGTAAATGAGTCATTATTTCTACTATATATTAAGTATTTTAACTGAATATTCATGGTTGACTGTAAAATTCTTTCAAAACATGATTTACCAAATTGAAAAATGAATTTATTCTGCGCTTTTGGAATGTTTCATATAAAACAGAGTACAATTTAAGAAAACATCTTTATATTAAAAGCTCATGTTTCAGTTCCCTGTTAAAAATTGCGTATTTCCGTGTAACTCATGATCTAAGTTTTAGGACAGAAAATTGTAACGTTTCCTTTTGGAACACAAAGAAATTACAAAGGATGGCATCTGTTCCTCAGTTGAGAGGTGTTTTAATTTCAGTAATTTCCTCCAGATTTTATTGCATGCTTGCAACATGATATAAAACAAAAATATATCACATAATGCCACGTACACAAATACTCCGAATGCACACAGTGAAATGGGAGGCATTTTCTGGTTTAAAAAGAAAAGTCAATCGTCCGGAATAATTATTTCCAAAGAACGATTGATTTTTTTTTTCTCATTAGTTTTTGTTCTTCAATTATTCTCATAGTAACAACCGCTTTAACTGTTAAATGCATTCGACTTTAATACCGGTACAACTGAAATCCCTGCTCGCCTTCATGCAAAGGGAGATGCGATGTAAAATTAAGCGTAAAGAAGGGCCACCGCCCATGAACAATTCGGTTTTGTCTCAGCGGGCAGAGTTAAACGGGAACTTCGGCGATTAGGCATGGGGGAGGGGAGCAGCGGAGGGCTGAGGGCGTTTCAGGAGAAAGCGGGGCTCTTTCATAAATTAGGAGACGGCCGCAAGTGTACATCTCACTCAGTCTCTCCCTGCTAAAATTTATCCTAATAGTGAGTATATGTTTAAAAGTTAATAAAATGTAATAATCTCCCCTTTCCCTTCTCATCTGGATTCCCGACAATTAAAACATAAAACCGAGGCCACCTCGTAGTTAACACAGGACATCACAAAACATGAAAGTCCTGTCAAATCCAACAACTCAACTGCAGATATGTCTGATAGTTCCAAAGATACAGATGCTGATATCTCCATACCGCCAGAAAGCAAAAAGTTTATTCTACTGAGAAACTAACTTTCGCGACGTTCTAAGCAAATAATTGAAACGATTTGATGTTTTGCTCTATCGCTACGTCTTCATTTTTTACCCCTAAGAGTCAAAAGCAACCTGCAACAAGAATAAAGTGAAATAAGAGATTTATTTAAAGCGTGTGCAAAGAGTACGTAGATCATGAGCCCCCACAAGCTGGCATCTAGCTGGATTTCTGAACTTTCCTTAAAACTGTGGGCGGAGGCTTGTTGTAAATATTTCACACTTAATTCGTTTGTTGTTTTAGAACTGCCCGCTCCTCACGACTTAACTGTGGAATATATACAATGATAAGGAAAAGCCCTTTTGGAACTGTAAACGTCCTTTAGCTGTCGCGATCTGAAATAATAGCTCTGTATTGGGTTACGAGATAGAAAAGATAGATGGTTTGTTTTGATAACATTTTGACTTCGAGATACTTGGGCGTTCAGAGTTAAAGACTTCACCCAGAAGCATTCCGAAAAAGGCTTCTTGGGTGACCTTTACGGCCAGGTCAAAAAAATTAGATAATGCAGATCCCAAGAGTGGGTAACTGTGTCCGAGATTCTTCTCTCTGCCCGAAGCTACTAAATCGCTGTTTACCAAAATTTTACGTGTTTTATTTTTAAAGCCAAAAAAAAAAAAAAAAACAAAGGCAGAAATCACAAAATCGCACAGGCTACTAGCCTAGCAGCACTCTTCACAACGAAAATTGTCGCGACACCTTGAGCAAAAGTTTTGGGGTTTTTTTTGTTTGTTTGTTTGCTTTTTTGGTTATTCACCTAAAGGAGCGCGGAGGTTTCTTTTCCTCACTGTCGTGGGGGACGCCCCCTAACCAGCAAGGATCCAGGTCAGCTCCTCCCGCCCCAGCAGCGGGCTCGGCTCTCCGAGCCCCAGCGCTACCTCGACTCCAGGCTCCTTAGCGCCCGTAGCGGTTACCTCGGGGATCCGGTCCGAGAATCGCGGCCCTCGCTGCGGATCTTGCCCGATCACGGAGTGAGAATCCCGCCGAGGCAACCTGGGTCCGGGTCCTTCCTTTCTCCCCCAAAGCTGGCTTCAGCGGAAATCCCGCTTCCGCTGCTGTCCTGACAGGGCGAGGTCCTCTCCAGGCGCACGTGATGCTCGGCTCGGGGCAGGGGCCCGAAGGCCTGCACGCATTTGCCGGCCGGCGCTTTGCCGTAAAAGGACTCATTGTCCAGCGTCTCCATAACGTGCTCCAGCGTGCCTCCTGAGCCCATGTAAAAGTCACTGTTTTTACTTGGCAGGCTCTTCAGGGCGAACTTCTCGCTGAGAAACTCCATAGTCCTGC